ATAGATACATGGCCGTTGAAAAATATATTCACACTTATACCACAAAGAAAGACTCAAACCACTATTGTAAAGAAAAATATGAAAAATACGCGTATATCCTATTTTCATACCTTGCTTAACAGTTCCACTATTTATTTAAAAGAGAATTTTCTCTTTTTTGTATGTGGGTAGGGGTACATTTTTTCCTTTTTTTTATTCTTTTCTTTTGTATATAGTAGATGAGTATGTCTTACTATATTAATTATTAAATATATAAACTAAAGTGCCAAAGTATTATTAATATTGTAAAAGATAAGTAAAATATACTTGGATAAAAGAAAAAAGAAGAGACGAACCGTAAAGCGTTAATAAAAGATAAGTAAGAAGAGAAAAGTGTATTTTTGAAAATAAACAAAAAAAATCGCGCATTAATTTTAGATATCACATGTATGTAATCAAAGCGATTTTAATTGGTTATTAATATACATGCATAAATGTCATGTGATTTTAGTGACCTAGAGCTTGGACTCGCACTCATGTAACTCGAGTTGACTCGAGTTGAACTCGCACTCGAGTCAGAAATTTCTTGACTCGAGTCAACCGAGATCACGTGGTTTATAGTGCCGGCTGAACCTATTTGTAATTCCTGCCGGCACTATGACCATAACGGTCTAGGTAAAATTATGGATAAGTTTTTTAGCCCGCACTTTGACTCAAATTAACTCGAGTCCTGACTCGAGTACTCTTTGAGTCAAAAAAATTCTTGACTCGTTTTACTCGAGTTGACTCATCCTGACTCGAGTCCAAGCTCTATAGTGACCTATACAAAAGATAAAAATTATTTTACAAAAAATACGTTTCCAACCTTCCAACCAGTGTATAAAATCTGGAAAAAAAAATGTGCACACGTGCACATAAAAATTTTTTTTTTTTGTACACGTCACGAACTCAATTTTTAAAAATTTTTGTGCACAAAAATGTGCACTATATTAATTTATAATATAAAACGTCCTAACTTTTAAATTCTAAATTCCTAATTATATTATAGATTTTATTTATAAAATATAATTAATTACACTAAAATGTTCCAAAAAAATGAAAAATAAATCACTATAATTATTAAATTGCCAGATCTTTAGAAGCCCAATGATTGTAAGCTGCTAAATAATTGAAATTTTCAAAATTTTGAGGGCCATTTAAAGAAACATGTAAATGCATATTAAGAGTATCAATATGCACTCTGTTTCGAATGTCAGTTTGTTTTGATTAAATTTTGCCTAGAAAATACACGCTCCACCACAGTGTTAGAAAAAGGTATAATTAATGACAAATCAATAAGAATAATAAGATTAGGGAATTGGTTTCGGAAATGAGTAGTATTAAAGATCTTATACCAACATTCAGTAAATTTACATCCTTTGGCAAATCTATATGACGCAATTAGATTTTTAGCCAAATCCCATTCTTTCTTAACTTCTTCGTCATCAATTAATGAATGCTCATCATTATTAATTCTTTTTTTCTTTCCATAAAAATGTATAAGATCCGAAAGCTCTTCTTCACATAGTTTTGTAAAGCATTTTTATGCATTTTTATCAAGCGGCACTTCATGAGGATCAAAAATTCGTAAAGAATAATATAAATTTTCATTAGGAAATCTTTTTCACAAATTTGTAATAACTTTTTCAGCATAATGTTTAATAAAATCTAATTAACAAACATAATTGAGCAAAAATTTATTAGTAATTAATTTAATAAATAAGTTAAAAATAAACTAGCCTGGCAAATCTTCAGGGTGTAATTCTAACTCATCTATTAACTTTCGCAAATGGGTACCATACTTCGGTAAGACATCTGCAGATCCAATAAAATTTGCGGTTATAGATTCATATGCCATTTCGAGTTGTGATCATAAAGAAATATAATCAAATTGAAAAACCAATATAATTTTTTTTAAAATAAAAAAAAATATCAGCAAAAAATTTTGTAATAATAAGAAATTCGGTATCCACATTGCGTTAAATAAGAATTTAGCCGTATTAGATGAATTAACATCACGTTGTAATGCTTTTTGAATGGGTTCAATTATTTGGTGAAAATTGTTAATTACATTAGACCATGATAGCCATCGCGTATCACATACATTAAGAATTGTTAAATCAGAAACTTCCATATCTTCTTTGATTTTTTTTAATTCATACATTCGCTTATATGAATTAGAAAAATAAGAATAAATTCCTTTAATTATAGTTTTATAATGTGCGAAATATGGTGTTTCATTTGCAGCTTCTTCTGAAGCTAAGTGTAAGCGATATGCAACACAATGTGTTGATGTAATAAAATTATTAAGTTTTTTTAGTTGAGTTGCAACACCATTACGAATGCCTAAGTAAAATGATAAAATATATATATATATATATATTATTAAATTATATATTTTTGATTAATTAATTATTATTTAATAATTACCTGTCATGGTTGCAGCTCCGTCACTACCAAAATGTCTTAATTTCGTTATATCCAGTTCTTTTTGAGTTATAAAAAGGTTTATTACATTCATAATTCTATCAGCCGATGCATCTGTTATTTGTGTCAATCCAAGAAAACGAAAATAGGTCCACCATTTACTAAATGTTTCGAAACTAATGCAATAGTTTTTTCAGATATAACATTTGTATTGCTTTCATCAATAAGTAAACTCTAACATGGTGATTCTTTAACCTCAGCAACAACGCTTTCTTCAACAATAGTAAATATAGAAAAAAGTAATTTTCTTTCTGCAACTGCATTTTTATAAAGTGCATAATTATTAGTTGAAGATGATGAAGTTGTAATTTCAGAATGATTTTGAAGAAGAGGTGGACGAAGATTTTGGATAAAATTTTCATCCCCAGTTTGATATTGATAATTAATTTGATATGTAATTAAATCACAAAGAGATCTATAATTATTAAGTGCTATATTACGTTGTGTTAAATAATATACATTACGCATACAACAAATAATTAATGCTTGATTATGGTTCATTTGTTGCATAAAGCCTTCTTTAATTGTCAACTGATCTGAATTTTTTGCATTAATTGCTTTTATATGCCTTTCAATACAATCTTCCTTTAACCACTCCAAACCAGTAGTTGTCCACACATTAGAACTATTTGCATTTTTGCATATTTTACAAAACATAACTTCTTTTCCATTTCTTTTTTCACAATATAACCATGGATATTTGAAAGGATCTTTTAGTGTTCCGAAACGAGTCGAGCTGACTCGCGAGTTGGTTGAGTCGAGTCGAGTCGAGTCGAGTTGAAAATTACAATCAAATCGATTCAATTTGAGTCGAGTTAATAATTTAATAAAATCGAGTCGAGTCGAGTTAAGCCGAATTAAACATAATTCCGGCCAAATTTATGGAATTTCCTTTTTTGGAAATTATGTTACACAAAATCCGAGACGAAAATTTTTTGAAAATTACAAAAATGGAATTTTGTGGAATGGCTATTACCAAAAAAAGGAAATGATTGACATAGCCGAATAAAATCACATGATTTAATTCGACTCGACTTGATTTGGTTTGACGGGCCAACTCAATTCGAATCGAGTTGAGTTTATATTTTTATAATTTTAACTCGACTCGACTCGACTCGTTCGGAGCTCTAGCCAAGATGGATTCCATTTAAGGTTATCTTTTTCTAAACATGAATATTTATTTTTTTTTATTTTTATTTTTCGCCTTAAATAATCTCATTTAATTCTCCTTCACTATTAATTTCATTATCTTCAACATCACTAATTTGAATAACCTCTGTATTTTTATCATTTCGACTTCTTTTTTTTGTTGGTTTGTCAGTTTTTTTCTCTTGAGGAGTATAATTATTTAGATATTTTATGATATCTTCCATTCTTATTACGCTTAAAAAAAAAGAAAAATTAGATTATCATATCATTTATCTAATACGAATATATATACGATGCATATCAAATTTTTTTGTGCGTGGAATAAAATTTTTTGTGCACGAAAATGTGCACTATTATTTGTGCACTATAGATAAACTACGTGTGAAAAAAAATTGGTGTATGGCAGTCTGCCAGATGATCAGTAATTGAAAGGGACCAATAAATTAATTAGCATAAAGAAAACAATTTTTAAGAACATTGGATATCATTTAAGGATCTTATAGAAAAGGCTTTAATTTTTAGCGGCGCTGAAAATTTTGATGATAGTCATGTATAAATTATTAAGTATTATTTGATTCTTGCATCAAATCATTAAGTTTAGCATTATTTGAAGACTTTTTTATTTAATATAATAATTACAAACATGCTATTATTTTATGTATTTATTATAGCTTTGAAGGATATCGAAATGTGAATTATTATTCCGTGAATGAAAATAAAAAACTCATTCATCATTATTGACTAAAAAAGGAAAAGAAATTAATAAATTTTATATTTACGACTAAAAAAGAAAAAAAAAATTAATAAATTTTGTACTTACCATTTTGATCTTCTATATTTAGAGTATTCGTATTTTGAGTATTCCGGCTCCCATATGCTATAAAATAATTAAGAAAATCAATAAAAATTTATAATTTGATTAAACTTTTATACTTTACATACCATTACTTCTGTTTCGTCTGCATTGAGTTATATTAATACCAATTGAAGCCTGTACAAACTGATCATCTAGAAACATATTAAATCATATTAAATAAAACAATTTACCTCTTTAATATAATCATTTTGTTGATTATATAATGTTGTTAGATTTAAAAGTTCTTACCTGGTTTCTCCCAAAACCGTGTATTCATGACTTCAAAAAAAAATGGCACCAGCACGGCTTCTTGCCCCTCTTGGATCATTTGCAATCACTAATAATTGATCCTAAAGTATTAAGTGTTAAATAAGTATTAAAATTACTATTACAACAAATTTTTATTAATATTTAACTCACGTAATAACCGGTCACTAATCCATTGAATTTTGTTTGGCACTGTTTGCCCAAATAATTGCTCCTACACCTCTTATTTACTTTATTCGCAACGGAATTCCAGAAATTTTTTCTATTTCTTCCTGCAATTTGATAATGGTACTCGAAGTTTCTTAACCTCCGCTGCTCAATCAAAGCAGCGATTTGGTCATCCAACCACTCCACCCGGCCGGAAGAATAAATTATAGTGTCAAAAATGGAGGTAGTATTGACATTGATGGTATTGGTATCATTGACGGTGGTTGAATCAGTTGAAGATGAGGACATTGTTTGAAATTTTGTTAAAAA